GGCCGGATAGTACAACAGACTATCAACAGAGCAGTGAAGCTGACAACTGTAGGATCACAGGATCGGTCAGGCAGATGGGAGCTCAGCAGGTCTGCATCCAACCCACTGCTCAAAGCAGGGCCAGCTGCAAGCTCTGACTGCGTCACGCAGGGCTTAACCCGTTGCGTCTTGAAAACCTCCGAGGATGGGGACTGCACCCCCTCTCTGGGCGACCTGATCCACTGCCAGACAGTCCTCCTTGGGAAAAGCGTTTCCCTAAACCCAGCCTGACCCTCTCTTCTTCCAGCTTCTGCCCTGAGTCTCTCGCCCTCCTGCCATGCACCACTGGCCAGAGCCTGGCTCCGATTTCTTGCCGAGCTCCCTGCAGTGCTGGGGCTTTGGCAAGCTGCCCCCGCAGCCCTCTCTGTCCCAGGCTGCAGCAGCCCTGCTCCCTCAGCCTCTCCTCACTGGGCCAGGGCTCCAGCCCCAACCATCCTGGTGGCCCTCCACTAAACCCACTCCTGTTAATCAATGCCCTTCCCATATTGAGGGGGGTCCCAAAACTGGACATGGTGCTGTAGATGCAGTCCAACGAGTGCTGAGTGAAGCGGGATGATCACTTCCCTCAACCTCCTGGCTGCGCTCCTGTTCATACAGCCCGGGATGCTGCTGGCCCTCTTTGCTGCCAGGGCACCCCACGGGCACGGGCTCAGCTCCCTGTCTGCCAACACCATTGGGGCCTTCCCAACAGAGCTGCTCTCCCCAGCCATGCCCAGCTTGCCTTGCTGCAAGGGACTCTGCCTTCCCACGTGCAGCACTTTACATACAACCTTGTTGAATTTCATAAGGCTGCTGGTGGCCCATTCCTCCAGCCTGTCTAGGTCCCCTGGGGCGGCAGCTCTGCCCTCGAACGTATCAGCTGAGTCCAATGTTACACAAGTGCTGTAAATTATGAAATTGTCAACAAAGTGAATAAATTACAAAAACCATGCAGATTCGCCCCTGTGTTCCCATTTTTAATCTCTTCCATTTGCAAAATATTTTACTTGGTAGAGCAGAGAAAGAAATGTGTAGGCTTTAGTATAATATTTAAACTGATAGCATAATCCTTAATTTGTGTTAGCCCAGCTGCTTTTTCTCCTAAAGAGGAAAAATATACAATCTGGGATCACAGAATTGGAGGAGCTGGAGCTGGAAAATACCTGACAGGTATGAACTAGATGGAGTTCATACACAATGCAGGATTTTTCCAACCAGTGTATTTTCTAATGAGTTGTGTTGTCTGTATGCGAAATTGTCAAGGAGTGGGATTTCCACCACTCCCTTGGAGATCCATTTTCCATTATACTCAACATGAATGTTTCTTTTCTTAATTTCTTCCTATTATTCCTAATTATCCCTTGTGTTATCCCTAAGCAGTCCAACCATTGGTGTTTTCATGGTAAATATTGTAAAATGGTATTCTTAGCTGGGTTTGTTCTGCTATATATACAATTAATAGCTAGTCAGTTGACTTCTTGCCATTAGATGTCACTACATGTACAGCGAACAGTTTTTAAAAGACTATTCATTTTGATTTAGCCTCCCAGAAAATGGGGGAGGGAATTTGGAGATGCAGGAGAGAGACTGGTAGTACGCTTTGAGATAACTGCTTCTTAAATAGGATGTTGGATATCCTTATACTAAAAGCAACACAGAAGGAGACATAAGATTTTTGACTAAACTCCAGCAACCAACAGATGATGCTGTGACCTTAAGCATATATAAATATGTTTAGCAGCTGCTGTGTAACATATTTATAAGTGTTTAGTGACCTGGAGGTTAATCAAAATGAGTTTGGTGATCTCAGCTCAGTTCTTAATGGACTGCACTTCATATTACAGAACTGATGCAGCACAATTTGTCACAGTCGGCAGTCTTTACTCAAAGGAGGCCCACTGTGGAGCAAGAATTAAAGGCCGAAGTAATACCTGATTATTTCTCCCTAAAGAAACTCTCTGTTCCAAGCCATCATAGAGCAGAATAACATGTGGAGGAGCTCTGTACTGCACACTGCACCCAATCTCAGACTCAAATAACGTTTATTCTTCCGAGTTGTCAATGTCCAGAGTTACTGAATTAGCTCATGTGTGATATGGTCAGTGCTTGATAGGGGCCCTCCGAAGAACACGTTGAGTTGTGCAAGGGATGGTGCTGAGGGTTGCATTCAGTGGGCCTTTTGCAGAGGTTGAGGGCTGTGTCTGTCCCCTAAGAGCAGCGCTAGATGGGAGGGTGAAAGGGAAAGGTATTGTCCTGCCAGGTGCAACTTCAGAACTAGATTCTGCCTTTATTAGGGCTTTTTAGGGTACAGAAGCAATATTTTTAGACTTCAGTCATTTCCTTGCTGTCCTGGCCAAAGCTAGTATATGCCTTTTATTTAATTTCCGCTTTCAGTCTAAACTGGAAGTAGTTTTGTACTTTGTGATTTAAAGCTGTTGTATAGCACTGTGCTTTCATGAACTACAATTGAGATTGATGTCCGTGGTGGGTAACATGAAATAGGTTGTACCTCAATTTGAGACAATGAACAGCCCCACAGTTTAGAAGATATACATGCTATAGGAAGTAATAGTATTGAAATATTAGTAGGTCAAGACCAATTTCAGCTTACCTGCAAGGTGCAAATCTCCTGTGTATTTTTAAAGCAAGTGAAGGACATTGGAGAGACAGATATCTGTAGAGACTTCGATCTTTTCTGGAATCCTTAAAAGAACCTGTAAAAATCTATTATTTCTTTTAAGGCTTAAAAAGGCATTTGCACACTTTCCTCATCCTTGCTAGTATCTTTAGCCTATAGTGAAAAGAATCTCACTTCTCAAGTGTAGAAAGAATTTTTCAATTAACTTCATTTGTTGAAATATAGCAGGTTTTAGCTAAAAATTTGAGGAGTGCTGGGGGGGGGTGGTTTAAGAAGCAATATTTACATAAGAAAAGCTTGATTGTATGACTGAAGTCTTTTAAAGTTATTGCCAAATGGCCCTGCTCTTCTCTTTTGCCTTTGTAATTTTCCCTTGGAGCATTGCACCACTGTGCATTTTAAATCTTTTCCCTCCATTCCTCATAGCAAGCTTCATCAGGGAAATGACATTGTATGGCAGTTGTCTCCTTCATATCAAAAGAAAGCCTTTGCCTCTTTGCAAGAGTGAAGAAAAGTTTGTCTTCACAGAGCAAAGGATAAAACTGACTTGGAAAAAGATGCTTTATTTAGATAACACGTTCTCTATTCCTTTGAAGAAATTCACGATGTGTCAAGAAAAATTAGGCCAAGTAGTGCTTTAATGGTCTTCTTCCTCTCTCCTTTTTCTGTACCTTCTAAAAGAGAAACCCATTTCTACCAGATTGTGTTCAGAATCCACTATGAATTTGGGGAAGACAGGATGCCATTTAAGTTATTCAGGGTTGTTAGTTTGGAGGTTTCCTTGTTTTGTCTGAATATTGCATAGTAACGAGAAGTAGAATTTATGCCCAAACTGCATCTCTACTACCAGGAAATGCAACTTTTGCTACCTGTAAGATAAAGTTATGTGATGTTTCTCATGGAAGGGAAGAAAAAGCTGGCAGGTACCAGAGCTATGGGGGGGACTTCCTTTTTAAATCTCATTTATTTGGAAAAACAGCATAAAATTCACTGAAAGCACATTGAACAAACAGGTCTGAGTTCTGTATTTTCCTATACAGGCTATGAATATGCAAGTAAGTATATTTCTGCATAGATTTTTTATAAATCTATATATATGTGATTTTATATGTATAAATATTTATCTATATAATGATATGTGCAGTCTTTAACTATACCAATAATATGTAGACAATTGTGTTATGGACAAAAAGAAGGCTATTTTTGGAGCTGGATGGACCCTGTGTTGTAGCGGGTTATGCCGTTCACTTGAGTTGGGTATTTTCTTCCTTGTGCCACAGTTTTGCTATACAATTTGCTAAATCAAGCACAAAGTCTACTTACCTTCTCTTAAGTTCTAAAAAGTACCTAAGTGTTAGTCTTGAAAAAATACTTGATCTGAAGTATATGGACCTGTAGAATTAGGTAAGAGCTCTGTTCAGGACAGTTTTCAGACAAACTTAAGTGTCAGTTATGAAAGCATTATACAGATATGTGATTAACTTGCGACATAGAAGTAATCCTGCTGAGGTTTCTTGTTTCAACAAAGTTTAGTATGTACATAGCTTTTTGAAGGATTGGACCTAGATGGTACATTAGCAACGCAGATATTTTATACAGTGCTGCAGTCACATCTATGGTCATTTTAATGATATTTGCTAAGTGACTATGACTTTGGGCACTAAATCAATATTGGAAACAGGAGCATCTATTGTGATGCAAAAAATCTGTTTTGAAGGAAAAGAGAAAGAAGAAGGAAGTTGCATTTAAATGATTTCATTGGGAATTGTGTGAATGCCACTTTTGGTCATAGATTATGCTCAAGCTAAATGCTCACATGCAACTGGTTTGCTCTTTTGAACCCTGGAATTTGAAGTGTTTACAGGAAACAAGGCATATGTGATAACATCAAATAAAGAAATCTAAAATGGGTTCTATGGCAACCATTTTTCTTTTGGTCATTTCACTGTTTTTTGAGTTACGGCAGGCAAGGATTTCTATTACGTGGTCAAAATTTCCATTCACTTTGCAACTCTTACACCAGTCCTACATTCTTTTGGACTCCTGATTGCGTTGCTCTGTACTCAGAGGATAAATAATATGAGCTATACCTTCTCTGCTGATAGGTTGTGACTTTTAAAAACACTATATGTTTCTTGAAATTAGTGTTCAGTCTGATTCTGTCTTAGATATGCAGTAACTAATTCAACACTAATAGCTCCCCACGTAGGTGAAATAAACTAATTGCGTGCCTTTTCCGTAGCTGTTTGCACACAAGAGGAGATGTACTCTGTGACAAACCCTAGCGTCTTGGGCCACGTGGTACGTAACGCGACGTTGTGTGTGTGCTTTTTTCTTCACGCAGGCAAGGCAATTTCCCTGCCATGAATCAGAGCGGCATTATGGGATCCAGCTCCCCCTACACTCAGCCGATGAACAACAGCTCGGGCTTGATGAACCCGCAGGCTCCTCCTTACAGCATGGCCCCTAACATGGTGAACAGTTCAACAGGTAATGGTGGGTAACCTCTCACGAGCGCTCCTCCTCCACAAGTCTGTTCAAAGGCACTGGCCCCGGGCTGAGGGCAAAGGATAGCCGCCTTCGTTCGCTGCAGCCCTCCTGGGTAGATTGTGGTGGTGATTCAAAACTAAGCTGAGGTATTTGCGTTTTTTGTGCAGTAACTCATAAATTTTTCATTAAGTCCTTTTGCAGAGCATGTAGATGAGTACAGTGTTTTGAACGGTTCCAGCAACACTCGGATCCAGTTTGACTTAGGTGTTGACTAGCAAGTATATGTATATTCGTGTGTGTGTCTGCAAGAGAGGGAAGGAGAAACACGTCGTCTTTTAAAAGACTGCTGTTGCTTTTCGGTGTCTCACTTAACGAAGACTGCGATTTAAAATGTTTAATGTAGTGCTGGTTTAAAGAAAGAGTGATGCTCCTGCTCTGGCTTGAAGGTGCGCTAAGTTGGGCACGTGAAATAATTACTCTGTTCGGGAAACATAGACCGTATTTACTATATTTCCAAATTCATATATTCATATAGGATTTCTTCATTTACTTATTTAAATACTAGTGTATGAAATTGAACCGTGGCTTCCATTTGCAAAAGCGTATTTAACGTAGCTGTTGCATTTGTCTTTCTTATTGCAACTTGTCAGTTTAGAATTATTTGCAGCTTTGTGTGTGACTTGGTATATAGGGAAAACAGATGGAAGGTGATTCTGTGATAATGTGCTTTGTAGTGCAGATTCAACTTGGAATTCAAACAATTAGCTCCCATCAAGAATATGCTTTACTTAGTAAAGATCAATTCTTTGATTGAGGAGGTTTAGGATGGAGTTTCATTTACCCTAAAGTGGATCCTACCAAATACTTGCTCAAGTCCTGGAGTTCCTGTGCATGCTTTACTGATTACGTTAGCCCTTTTTGAAATGCTTTTGTGATGTTTTTCAGAAGGCTGGATAGGTTGTGCTTAGGTGGTTTGATTTAGTTTTTTAATCAGTTCTGTTCCTACTTGATTTGTTTATTCCTTTAGCGATACTTTAGTACTTAAATTGTATGTTACCAAGAGCCTCTCTTTCTGTATCTTCCTCTCTGCCCTACTTAGCCTACTTCTTTTCTTCATCCTTTGCCTCTTCACCTGTCTTTGCTTCCTCAACTCTCAGTTTGATATGCCCCTGCTTATCTCAGGTAGAGAATGGCCACAGTGAGATTCCAGTGTCCTTCATGTCTGGAAGGTTTCTTTCCTGTACATAGGAGATACCAAGATACTTAAGAAGGACTTATTTTTCAAGAATTCCATGTTATATTTTTTCTTCAGAGAAGAAATAGAATGGAAACTGTTAATCAGAAAGAGGGTTAAAAAAAAAAAAAAAAGGGTACCAAAAAGGCTTTTCCCAGTGCTGACTTGGAAGCCGTTGGCTAGTCCAGACAGCACACTTCCACAGTCTGGATGAAGAGGGAAAAGCTATCAAAAAGACCATTAGATAATAGCTTTCTTTCCCCCACTAGAGCTGTCCCAGGTAATATTATGTTTTGTTTGTCTAGTTATGTGTTTTGTCTGGCTTGCTGAAATAAAATTACTTCTGAGCATTGAAACTGCACTATAAATTCTGTTTTGCTATTAGCAGAAGTAATTTTTCCCCCTTTTCCTTTGGCCCCCAGAGCTGCAAAAATAACCAACAGCAAACAGATGGCAGAGTGCCCTGCCTAAGAAGATTTATGTATTCCTAAGGAATAACCAGTTTAAAGGAAGATTCACAGAGGTTTTTTTGTTCAGATAATTCAGCCATTCGTTATTTCATACAGTGGAAATCTGTTCAATGCAAGGCCATTTATCCTAGCAGTCTTTTGTATGGAGTAGTCATACTCTTTTTATTGTGTTATGCATTCTGAAATATTGGATTTTTAATAATTTAAACATTTATCAGGGTTTTTTGTGCCTGTGCATTTGTGAGGTTTTCTTTTGTTCCAGTTTTATTAATTCAGAGATTACCCAGTGGAAACTTAAGTGTGAGATGAACTAGAGGAGTTTGGTGTACCTCTTTTCCTCTTTATGTGAGCACGCATGCATCGAGATTGCACTGTACTGCGTTATACAGCAGGCCTCCAAGAGCGCACAGAGAGTATATGGGGAACAAAAAAGAGAAAATTAGGTGTGAATACAGTGCTGGTGAGCGCATGCGGTGGGAACATGGCATTTCCACCCTATTCTGGCTTATCGTGATTCGTCATTCTGCTTGGATCGAAGAAACGAGGGGCTGAGTTTAAGGCAATTGTAAATACAGTACTTAAAATGTCATTGGCTTGAGCTGGGGCAACGCTCTGGGGTCAGCTCCTGCCCAAGCGTTGCATTTGATGAGGTGGAGACCATGCAGATGCCGACTCACAGGGCCGAAAATGGCATTTTCTGTGACACAAGGACAATTCAGCTGTCTGGCTCTCGAGCCTTTTTGCCACTCATTTAAAGCTGCTCGTCAGTCAGGAGAAAACAGGGTTCAGTCAGTGTCCAGAGCCCAAGGAAAGAGCCTGGTGGTGGAGTGGCCGCTGATGGAGGCAAGTGTGAATATATTAGCGTGCTCACATGCATTAGCATGAACAATTTGTTTCAGTTAGATGCCAATGGAAAAGTGAAGTAAGCAATTCGGAGAAGTTTGTTGGTTTTCTAGGTTTTTGAAGGGGAGTTGTGTTGTCTGTTTTTGGGTAGGGGGATAGATTTTGGTTTATTCGTTTTACTCAAATACAGTTTACATTTTACTCTGTAAAACAGAAAAACATTGTTGCTGATGTTGTTTGGAATTGTTTTCACGTGGTTTCAGAGCTTCTGTACCGCTAAGTATAACACTATTTTTACCACCTGTTTTCATTAGTATTTCTAACTCCTTATTACCAGATGATCCTTCCCCCCAACTTTGTTATTTAAATTGATGTCACAGGTTGAAAGAAAAATAACGTTACAGTTCTGCATCCTGTTACTTCAGCAGTGACTGTGGATCAAAGAGTACATCGCTAGCTTCTGCTGGCGTAGAGCAGTTTGGGAACAGCGAAATTATGCGATTAAAGCAGACAGATAGATCCTTCTGAGGGAGCATCCCATCCATGACAATACCAAAAGCTTCAGGAAAAAGTACCAGAATCCCTCCATGATTATGGAACAAACTGCCATGCAGAAAAACGTTAGAAACTTCACTGTCCTTTTGTTATATGGGAGCTCACATCTTTCATATATATATTTTCAGTGTTTTTTCTACCTTTTTTAACTTCAGGCTTTAAAAAACATAATAAAAGGAAACTTACAATACCAACACCAATAAAATAATAATTTGTGCTGCGAACCTAGTGGGAATTAACTTTAAAAGGCAGTAATGTGGAGTCTGCAGCTCAAAGATTTCCATATTGTACTTGCACAGAAAGTGACACAAATAACCTCTGCTACCTCCGGAGCTGAACAAAACAATAAAAAGGCATTCATGCCCTTACTGCAGAAATGCTAAGCACGGGTTTACTACAGAAACCTTCCACTTTCTGGGTTTTATTATTGCCTACAAATTTTAAAGATCAGAACACCCTAATGTGAACATGAAGTTCTAGGAAAAGTTATTTGCACTAAAAAAATTAAGAAGGTGCTATCAAGTTTAAAAACGAAATTAAAAATGGACACAACACTTGTATTTTCATATATAGTAAATATTTAAATTAGATGATAGGTAGTTGGACGAACTTCTGATAGAGAAAGCAATTATTTTTTATAAACGTAAAGCACTTTTTGCAAATCTAAATCGTATTTTCTCCGTTTCTTGGCTTGGTTACATTTTTATTTTTCTGAAAGATGAATTACTCCATTTATTTCACTATTTTCTGCTCTGACGCCTGTCTTCGTATAAGCTATTATATAACACACTTTCAAATAACATTAGCAGAGAGCTCTAGCAGTTGGCAACAGCTTACGTATCTCATCACCTATAGTCCAGAGAGGTGACGACTGCAGTCTGGCGGTTGCTGTGTAGCCAGAACACAGGGGCTGGCCCCGCCGTTTGGGCCCGAAACCCGCCAGCCCTTGGCTGGGGGGTGGGGCCCGCCAT